CTTGGAGGATCGTCTCCTTAAGGAGTGACCACTCTCCTTGGACACCTGGCTCCCCTCCCCTCCGGGACCTCAGTGCTTCCCCGACTATTCTTCTTAGCTCATTGAAGTCCGCCCTCCTGAAATCTAGGGCTGCTGCCTTGCTGCAGGCCTTTGCCGCCTTGCGCTGGATGGTGAATCCCAGCAGGCGATGATCACTGTCGCCCAGGTGGTCGAGCACCCGCAGCCCCCTCACCAGGTCGTCACCCGTGGCCAGCACCAGGTCCAACAAGGTGTCTCCCCTAGTGGGGCTGTGCAACTCCTGGGTTAGATGGAGGTCCTGCATTTGGGCTAGGAACCTTTGTGAGTGGTCAGACCTGGCTGACTGCTCTTCCCAGCAGATGTCTGGAAAGTTCAGGTCACCCATGACGACCACGTCCTTTGACCTAACTACCTTTTGGACTCGAGATGCCCCTTGCATGACTCAAGGCATCCCTCCATAACTTTTGTGAACTGAAGAGCACTCCACCTCAAAAACTAATCTGTTTGTTACAGTGCTTACCTCCTTGCAGAGGAGCCAGGCAGTGGGGGGCGGGCACCAGGCAGGAAAAGGCTCTTCTTCTCCCTGTTGTATCTCTTCTCCTCTCCCCTTCCCATTTCTTATTTTTTGTTCAACTCATTTGGGTGGTGTGACAGGATTCAATCCGCAGGGGCAGCTGCAATGCCACCTTGTGGCCTGAGTCTCCTGCTTGGCTCAGTCTCTAACGTAGCCCTCCCTCAATTGCTCAACCACCCCACCTTGTTTTTACTAAAGGGTGAATAAGGGAGGCTGTCCATGGGCCTTAGAGAGCCTCAGTTCATTTAAGTCACCACCAGGTCTCTACCAGACCCCCATAGTTTTGATTTGACCCTTAAGCTTAATGGACCCTCTCAACCATGCAAGGCACCTGTAGCTTTAAGGCAGGGGTGGGCAAAATATGGCCTATGGGCCACATCCAACTCTCCAGGCCATTCTATCCAGCCTGTGGGGCCCCCAAAAAACTTAGAAAATTAATATTTATCTGCTCCTGGCTGCCTATCAAAGATGACAGTAACCAGGGGCAGTAGGACTCAGGGGGGACGATCAGCAGAAGGCAGAAGCCCAGCCCTGTCCCAATCCCCAGCCATTTCCCTGCCCTCCTGCTTAGGCACTGCTCCAGCACCACATGGCTCCCAGCTGCATTGCTGGATGGGGAAGCACAGGGCCACACAAATACGCCGGGGTGTGTGTCTGTGTGGCGAGTCCCACAAACATGCATCCACCCCCCGCTTGCCCTGCCATACATGCAGACCCCCACATCCCCTCATATACCCTAGCCACTCTTCTTTCCCCACAAACCCCATAACCACCCACACCCCACATATCCACATACATCCACAAGCTCCATCACCTCACCCCCACACCTATCCACTCCCCACAGGCACACCCACCCCCTCATACCCCCACAGCCCCCCAGAAACCTATACCCCCCACAATATACAAGAGTGAGCCTTCATTTTAAGATATTATATACAATCACCTCTATGTGCACTACACAAACACATGTAAACCAGAACAAAAATATTTTTTGAAATCAAATTAATGAATGTTTTAGATGTTTGATTTTTAGAATATAATTTTTTTTTCTGGTTCTGAGATGGCAAAACCCCTTGGTGAAAGGAGTACTCCCGCAGGCAAGGGGAGGGACTTCTAGTGGTCAAGGTCAGGTGTTAGGGGGCAGGATTTCCAGTCACAAGACGGTGACCAGAGGGTGGGGAACCTGTCAAGTGGTGCGGCTACGCATGCAGCCCTCGACAGCTTGCCAAAATTCGGTAAGCTGCCCTTCACTCAAAATAATTGCTCACCCCTGCTTTAAGGACTACTTGAATGTCTGGTATCAGACCTAGCTTCTAGGTTCCAGCCTCCCTAACTGTGGGTCTTTGACTGTACCAGTCTCTGGTGGTGGTCCCTCTTGGACCTTTGGCCCCACGTGGGCCCTGGCCCCACTCCTGAGCCAGTCAAGGTCTCCAGGCTCCCAGGGTCTGGTCCTTCCTTCTGGTCCCACCCTCAGGCCAACTGAGACCTCCATGCTCTCTGGCCTGACTTGCCCCCCTAGCATCAGTCTCCAGCTGTGGCCCCTTCCAGATCTTTGGCCCCTCCTGGGGCCTAGCCCTACCCCTGGGCCAGTTGGATTTGCCAGGCTCTCTGACTTTGGCAGTCTCTGCCTATAGCCCCTCCTCTGGGGTTGCAGACCTCCTGGTCCCACATTCAGACCCTCTCTGGGATACTGGTTCTCTGAGCAAGCCTTGACCCTGCTCCAGCGGGGCTCAAGACTAAACCACCAGTGCAACTTAATTTAAAAAAAACGGTTTCTGGCAGACCCCCCACACCCTCTCTGGATTTAACATAAAATAAAAGTCACTTGCCTGCATAAACAGCCTGTCTCTGCCCCACGAAACTTCCCCTGTTCCCAGACTTGCAGAGCTGCTTATCCAGTTCTCCTGTCAGATTAGGTGCACTGCTGCCAGGAGCTCCTATCTTCATGGCTCTCAGGGCTCAGGCTCTGGGCTTTTATGGCTGAAGCTCGGCCTCCTTCAGGTCAGGTGAGACCTTAATCTGCCTCCCCTCTACACCTGCAAGCTGCCTCTCAGGCAGCTTCTTCTCCTAAAGGGACAGGAGCACCCTAGTGCCCTGTCACAATTGTTTTTGTCTTAAAATTAGATTTTCAAGCTTTTTGCAGCAGGAATCATGTCCTGTTACAATGCCTAAATCCTGACTGGAGAACAATGGGGTTTCAGACCCAATATGTTCCTTAGGCTTTACCATAAGATTATTTATCCTGTGTATTAATAGCAGCACCAGCAGCAGCAGCAGCAATATAATATCTTCTGAGATAAACTTCAAGCATTTACACTAAGCACATTTGGGATGATCTGTACTTTCTCTGGGCAATGATTTATTATGGTTGCCTTCAAAACCAAGCAGTATGAATAGTGTATGTATAGCAGACTGGAGCCTTATACACTTAAACATGGAATCAGGTGCTACTAGTGACATCTAAAGGAGCACATCAAAGTGCTCAGAGGGAAAATCTGGCCTGAAAGAAAAACTCCTGTTAATAAACAAAGCCTTAATTCATGGGTTGAAGCATCTCTTCCGCCAATTGTAAGATTTGCCCTGTATTCTGCAGTTCATTTGCAGCTACTTTGATAACACAACATGACATCTGTAGCAAAGCTTCTACCGACTGAAGCCAGAGAGTAATAGAGCTATTTTTGACTGCAGAGATTAGGAGTTAGTGGATTATCCCTTTCCTGCCCCTCCATGCCAAGTTTATTACCTTTAATGAATTTTTAAAGCTGTAGGAAGGTGTCTTCTCATGGCCTTCTGTGTTTTCCTCCCGTTTCTTGCAGAAGAGCAGCATCTTGGCATAGAGGAAGAGATGCCTTTGCATTGGCTTGAACCTTGCCAAGTCCTTCACCTTGTTGTGACCCTTCTTGTGGTCAGTCCAGACATTGAAGGAGCCCTGCATCAGCAGCTTACCAAGCTCATTCACATCACCCTATTGGAGAGGAGCAAGAGGAGAGGAGGAAGACATAGTCAGGTTCAAGCCTTGGTCCCAAATGCAGTGTAATTGGGGTGAGGGGTGATGGTTACAGAGACAGAAATACTTCTTGTTCATTTGGGCCAATCCCACAGAAGGCTCCAAATATCAGGACAAAGACCTGGAATTTGTGTCCCGGATGGGGAGCTAGCGTGGGAAAGGGACCAAAGAATTTGCAAAGACCTGAGCTGCTCGGCAGACCAATGGCAGCATTGTGTGCCAAAGGGAGCTTATTCAGGGCAAATGGGAGAATCTTTGAGAGTCACCCATTGCTTGCAAAGCTTTGGGAGAATCCCACAAGCCATGCAGGAAGTTGAAGGAGAACCTGCTCACCTCTAAAGCCCTGAAGAGGTAAAATTGAAAGAACTCCAACCAAACCAAGGGAAGTTTAGGTTGGATATTAGGAAGAATTTTCTCACTAGGAGGGTAATAAAATACTGGAACAGGTTACTCAGAGATGTGGTGGAAGCTCTATCCTTGGAGGTGTTCAAGACCCAGCTAGACAAAGCTTTGGCTGGGATGATCTAGTTGAGGATGGTCCTGCTTTAAGCAGGGGATGGGACTAGATGTGATCTCCTGAGGTCCCTTCCAACCCTAACTTTCTATGATTCTATGATTCAAACCCAAGTGAAAAAGTCAAGGAAAACCCAGTATTTTGCACTGACTCTAATGAACCCTTCATTACTTCAGTGATATTAAGAGCAGGTTCAACCAGCACCAGTTGCACCAGGGGGTGCTGCAGCCACTGGTGCAGTCCTGTTGTACGTGTTACAGGAAGCTATAAATTCAGCAAAAGCTATACATTCAGTTAACCATTTCACCTGAGTGGTTGCATCAGGTGAGGTCTGGCTCCAAAGTCCCTGCAAAAGGGTTTTGCAAAAACCTAATGCTGAATACAGCTGGGCCTAGCGTTTTGTTTACACAACTGCAAAGGAAACAGCTTTTCACAGAAACAGAAACTGTTCTCAGGAAATCCTGGCTTCTCTGACCTTTAGTTAACTATTGTAGAAATTAAAAGAAGACCTGCCACTTCCAAGAAAACAGAGTCAAGTCCATAAAGTGTGAACGTAAAACTCACTGGATCTATGTTAAGTCCCATCCTATCATTTTGTGTCGCATATTATATCCCTCTTTGAATGAAGATTCAAAAGTGTGTATTATATATATTATCCCTGTTAGAATAAGGTTCAGTACTGATATCTACTTCAAAATCATTTCAATCTGCAAAGCAGAGAGATTAAAGAATGCTGGATATGAGGAATTTAATAATTAACAAACTCAGTCAGAGGTAATTGTTCAGCCAATAAAAGCGAATACATTGGACATCCCCAAGCAATGGTAAATTTGAGCACTCCACAAATTACTGATGGGACAAGGTAATTCCTGTTGCATTACTGATGTAAACGTGGCCTTTCAGCTCAAAGATACAGCAGAGTAATTAAAAACAATTCCCATTCTAACTGCTCAACAGTGACCCTGGAGTCTGTCAAGGGACAAAGTAAAATTCACCTTTGTTCAGTAAACCGTGTAGCACATGCAGCAAAAGCAGAAGCTTCACGGCCTTTTGGCCAAGATGATATGCTACACATAAATTCTCTGGGCTTTGAAGGCTTACCTAGAATTAAGACTTAGTGCTGTTCCTCTGTACCCCTGGGTGAGACAAGTAATGGATGTGCTGGCTAGGGTAACAAATGCACAGCACCCACGGACATCGTTATTGTTGCTCTGCCTCCTGCTCACCACAGGTACCTGGACCTTCATGGCTATAGCAGGGTTACAACTAAGATAATCCTCCTCCAAAAGCCTCATGACATGAGCTATAGGAGCCCTTCCATCAGGACCTATGACACACCGCTGAGCAATTCTAATTCCACCCTGCGTTCAGCACTGCTGACACGGAGGTGTAGCTCACATCACAGTATCATCCACTGCTCTTCTCCATCAGATGTGCACTTAACTGGTGAAATTATGAATGACAGAATGGTGGAAATTAGAATGGTTAAAAACATATTTGGCAACCTGGTCCAATGAGTTTAATTTAAACTCATCACACTTCCTTACAGTTCCTTAAATCAGATGAAATAAAGTTTGTCTCTGGGGTCTACACATTTTAAATACTTCTAAATGGTGATCATATCCCCCGTCAATCTTCACTTCACTGAAGGACACCCAATAATGGTCATGGTCTCAACCAGAGTTCTTTCTCATGTTTCAGTCATTTCCACCCTTCTTTAGTGATCTGCTTCTCATTGTGGATTTTGTCCATGATGAGAAGCTATGGGTGAGAAATCGTAGAATTAACTCAACTGATATGAGCAGAGTCAGAGAAAGAATGCGTCTGACCACTTCCTTGAGACTGTCGGTATTCTTGTTAATGTACTTGAGGCAAATAGGCCTCCAGCTACAGTGAGTTTCCATTGCCTTGTTTATATGTAAACCAGCTTTTCCCCAGTGATGACTAGCGGTCCAGTATGTTTCTCATCTGCACAGAATCATCTACAGCCTTCAATGACTTCCTTATCCTGGACCAGCCAAGCCTACCTTATTCCATTTCCAAGTGTCAGGGTCAAGCTCCATGGTTCAGAGGAATACATCAGGTTGGGCTCCCTCTCTCTACACATTTTGTTTGAGTGAAGTTTTGACATTTAGGTTTGGTTACCGCAATATCCCACCGCATGGTTTTCTGTCAGGGCAGTTATTTGGCAAGGCTATCATTTAAGCAATTAGTAAGCCAGGTTTCTGCAATATGCAACGGTAGCAGGTGCAACCAACTAGAGTTGGTCAGAACATCACTGGTCTGGGAGTAGGGTGCTGATAAATGATGTTACCTCATATCCTGTGATCGCTATCTGATGCATAGAGTCATTGACAGACTTGATGATATCAAGCATTGTGGCCAGAGCTTCTTCCAGTTCAGCGGTGCCTTCTGAATTCTTGCTACATTTCAGCATTTCCTAATTTGAAACAACAAACATGCCTGTATGAAAAGAAGTCCCAAAAGTGCACCCTGAAAAATATCCTATAAATACACTTATCATAGGATAAGACCATCCTCCTCCAGCTACGTGTTGCACACACGAAGTACAACCATAGAAGTAGATTCTCTTTACCATCAAAAACAGACCTTTTGGGGACATTTTTAGGTTTGACCATTTCATTTAAAATCAGTATGTACATCTTATTTTATTCCCTGAATAACGCAAGCCACAGAATTTGGCTGAATGAGTTTTGCAGGGAAGATACAAAGGCATCTCTCAGATCACTTATTCTCTACCTCTGTCTCCAAGTGATCAATCTACAGGTGGAAATTTGAAATCTTTTTTTAGAAGACAGACATTTTGATAAAGGAGGCTTATTTTTAGTAAAAAAAAAATGCATTACATATACTTTAAAAATGGGTAGGAACTCTTCTGGAGGGAATGAAACCACTCCCTTAATTCCATTCTCTGTATGGGGAACAAAGGGAAAAGTCCAAGACCTGCTAGAAAGCAGATGGAAAAGGTCCAGAAAACAGACAAAGGGAAGACAATTAAAATCCCGAAGTTTGGAGTCTCTCCAGATACGAACCTGACTGGGATTCCACATGTGCAGGACCAACAACTGCTTAGAGTCCCCTACAGCAGTACACAAGGACATCTTGTCTCACTGCTGCCTTTTATCCCCCACTCACTGGTCACCACTGAAGAGCTTGAAGGAAGATTTTGGATCTGATTCTCCTCTCACTTGCTCATTCGGGTAGAAAGCAGGAGGAGAATCAGGACTTTTGGCATTTCGCTGGAGCCTGCCTCTCACCCACCCCTTGCCGCTGCCCTACGTTGTGGCCTGATTCGGATCTCACTCCAAACAGTTTTATGAGAGTTCAATCCTGTTGCATTTAATCCAGTTACTCTCAATTTACACACATCTGCATTTAGAATCATTTGTCTTTGCTCTGGGTATCTAGAAAAGTTTAACAGACTGAGCATGAAATCAGACACGGACGGTTCAGCTCTGATGAGTCTTGTTCTCCCCAAAGGTGCTGAAACAGCTCAACTCTGCTGAGGTGTGGGGGACCACGCAGGACCAGGTTGCTAACGCACATTGGCACTACTGAAAGCAAGACAATAAGCAGGTGTTGTTGAGTTTGTTGGCTCCTGCTTTTGCTGCTCCGAAGATTCATTTATTAACCAGTTGGGTTGAAGTACTGTTTGTTTGTTGTCAAGTACCAACATATAAAGCACACAGAAACAGCTTATTTTCAATTAGCTTTATAGGCCCTGACAGGTTCCCTGTTAATAGCTATTAACTGGGTACTTCCTCATGCATGTAGCATTGCTATGACCACAGTGTTTGGCTGACTATAAATGGGCTGCATTTCGAAAACACAAAAAGACAATGCTACGGGGGAACAGGCATGGCAATGGCATCGGCACTAAACATTAGCACCTCTAACAGGTTCAGTTCTGCCTCTGAACTTGCCAACAAGAGGCCTAAGAACAGTACAGTCTGTGCACCGTATTTTCTAAAATAATCAGGAATCAGGATGCTAGCTGAACTCATGCTCTCCCTGTTAATTACTGTTTGCTACATGAAACAGATGTCCTAAGAGTTCACCTGGTTTTCTAACAAACTCCAAACGTGGGCGAGGTTTAGAAAGCCTCCAGCATCACAGTTTCAGCCAATGTTAACTGAGCTATGGGTGAGTAATTGTTTTGTCTACTTTTGCACCTAACCAAGCAAAACTTGGCAAAGATGAGCCCATCCTGCAAAGTTGTGGGTTGAAATCTTCCTACATTTCAGCACTCTGCTTTCAGATGCGGCTCCGCCCTAGGTTCGGCTGCATTTTATTTGGAATTGAGAATCGTGGGATTGGAAGGGGCCTTGGGGGCTGTCCGGCCTTGCCCCCTGCATGAATGCAAGAATGCAGCTCCTAAATCATCCCTGACCAACGCTTATCCAGTCTCCTCTTCAAAGCCTCCAGTGAAGATATGCCACAGCCTCCCTGCACAGTCTGTTAGGCTGCTTAACTGTTCTAACAGCCAGAAAGCCTTGCCTGAGATGTAATCTAATCTGCCCTTAAGGTTATTTAAAGCCACTGCTTTGTGTCCTGCCCTCTGGGGCAAGGGAGAAAAGTTGTTGTTCTCACTCTTCTTTACGGCAGCCTTTCAAATATTTGAAGGCAGCTGCTATGTCCCCTTCTAGCTGCCTTATCTCTAAGCTAAACACACCTAGGCTCTCTAGATTCACTCCCCTTTCCCCCTTCTACTTCAGGGGATTCAGTGAGCTGCCTCTGTGGTGCTCTCCAAATTCCTGATGTGTTAAATGCCTTGATAACATACTGGTAGGTGTGTACAGAACTGGTCTGACCTGTTTAGAGGTCCAGGGCTCTACTTGTTCTGCCTGAGAACTTCACTTTGATCTAATCTCACTTTGTTTACTGATATATTTTAAATTACAATTAGAGCAGAGTTTATTAGTGCTCTTGCAGAGACCTTGAAAGTTAATTTTAATCTCTCTCCCCCCTTCAAGTGATATCACTTTCAGCAACTTGGAATAACAAAACCAAATAGATCTCTAGAGCAAAGAGATGTAATGCCAGTGGAGTTTGTGAAATTGCACCAGTGTTAAAGCTGGCGCATTTAGTGTATTGCAGGCCTCTTCAGTCTAGGGGGTTCTGTAGGGTTCATCAGTACGATATTGAAGTGCTACATAAATAAAAGAGGAGCCGGACCTTCAAATGATGAAAACTTGTACAACTTCTTTGATTTCAGTTGGTCAACGCCAATTTATACCAACTGAGATTGGGGCCCTAGATTTATGTACTGCATTTCATAGTGCACTTTAGAACACAATGGGCACCTCTGCTCTGACGCGTGCTAATTAGCTGCTGGAGCATGTGAATTAGCAAGCATTGGAGCAGACTCAATTAATCAAGTCTGCTGCAAGTCTGCTGGAGCATGCTAATTATCGTGCTCCAGCAGCCTCCACTTCATGTGTATTCAGTGTCCCCGTGCTTCAAAATAGTGGCAGGAGCGCTTTAACTAAAGCTGATAGAACAAGCTTGAGTTAAAGCCTCTCCGCCACCATTTTGAAACTCAGGATGCTGAATACATGTGATACCGATGGCACTTTAATTACAGTGCCTCTCAGACCCGCTCTAATTAAAGCACCTCTCCCTCCACCCTGGAGCATGTGTATAGACACTCAATAGCATTATCAACAGTCAAAGTGCCTCAAAGCAATAAAAAAGTAATCCTTCCTAAACCCTGTAAGTTGAGTGAGTAAATATAATTATCCCTTTGTTCAAGTTGAGAAGATGGACACAGAAATGAAGACCACCATTTTGCTGCTTCAGTTTCTTGTTGCTCATTTTGGACCTGAATGTTGATGGTATGGATCACTCCCAATCCCAACTGATGTCTAACAGGAGCTTGAAATATTCAGGATTTCTCAAAATGAGATCCAATCTGCTCCAGATTGGGCCTTTCAAAATGGACCTGCCCAAAGTAAGAGGATTCCTTTGGAAAATATTGTTTTGAGTAATTTATTCACAACTGGAGAAAAAACATCAGGGGTCAAAGGCTTGGAAGGCTGAAATTCCTTCATTCGTTGAGTTCTGCCATGGATTCCAGTGAAGCCAGGAGCAGGGTAGGAAATTATGGCACAAAGTCCTATGCTCAGGCCATTAGACCATGCCTTGCTCTAATTAAATCATTTGCAATATCTAATCAAAATGGGTACATTACAATCTATCATGGAAAACCGTAACAGTGACTTTTTTCTTTTTAGTGCAATTGTAGTACTGAATCCAAAAACTGCATTTAACCAGAGTTCTTATTTGGATAGGCTTGCTTCTCTACCATGTTGATTTAATGTAGTGAGGTATCTGCTGATAGAGAGAACTAATTTCTTTCAGGCGCAGCCCCCTAAACAGGATAATGCCAAACTACGGAAACAGAAGGCAAGATTCTCCAGCAGTGCATTACCTTTCTATGCAGAATGTCTGTCAGATTTAATTACCTTTAAAAGCAGCTGGTACTTTGTGATTCTTTGAACTGGCTTTAAGAGATACGCATCTAATGAGAGTTTATGATCCAATTTACGCTGGCATTCCTGTAAGATGAAAAAACAAACAGAGATAAAAACCACTGTGATTCTCAGAAACATAGCAAGGGCACAGAGACTTGAACTAAGGTTCAGACAATTGGAGGTTGAAGCACTGATTGATTCATCAAGACAACTTCCTGTTTGGCGTACACCAGATTTCACCATCCAATTCAGAAGCGGCATTTCCAGGCTGTGGAGAGTATATAAACACCTTTGAATCAGCGTTAAAGTCTATGGACAGGCAAGACTCTGGTTCAAATCTTGCGACTTCTTTTGGCGAAATTTCAACAACTTGATCTTAGAAAACAGACCAGCCCCTGGCCATTTTAATTACAAATTTGAATGAGTGCTGACAAGCAAAGAAATCCATCTACTCTTCCATCTGTCTGCCAACGGTGTTGTGTAAGACAGTGGACCGAGTAGCTGAGTGCTTCCTTTAATTAAAAGATGAATACATTAAGATAAATATATTCCTCTGTCTTTTAAAAATGACATAAATGCAGAAAGAGAGAACAGCTACAGAAGGAAAACAGGAGCTAATGGATTTGCACCGCCAGTCCATAACAACAGTACCTGAAAGAAGAGGTTGTCTGCACATTGCCTCCAGAGAGCTTCAGACCTTGGCTTATTCTGACAGTATTTTTCATATATTTGGAGATCCTCCTTCTATAGAGAAAAGAAAAATTTAAGCAACAGGGGAAGAAAAAATGTACCCAGCGCCCACCTTTAGTTGTGTCTTCTTTCCTTCTTCCATCTCATCCATGCTCCCTTAAAGTATGGTACCTAAAACTGGATGCAGTGCTCCAGATGAGGCCTCGCCAATGCAGAACAGTGTGGAAGAATAACTTCCTATGACTTGCATACAACACTCCTGTCAATGCATCCCCATAAGCAGTCGTGTAAATAGGCATGGGGAGAGGAAGGGAAGTGGAGCACTAGCCCCTGGTGTTGACTATGAAACAATGCCAGACTCTCCACTCCCCCGCCCCCCAGGCGCTTTTACCATGGAAGAGGTAGCCCTGCACTGCTGGCAAGAGGAGTTGGGTAGTACAGCCCTGCACCTGACAGTACACCTCAGGGGCAGAGAGGGAGGGGGGGTGATTATAATAATGCTCCCCTTCCTCCACGGAGTTTTTCTCACAGTAGGAGCAGCTCTGCACCCAGTGTCATATCTGGGGTCGGGGGGTCAGCTCCCAGGTTGTACACACCACAAGGCTGCCGCCTCCAGACTCGCTTGTTCTCTGCTGCTGCTGCCTGGACTCTGCACAGGGAAGGCAGCTGCTATTGCTACTGCTACCACTTTTGTACCACAGCACCAATAAAATGGCAGCAGTAGCACTAGCAGCTACCTACCCTGTGCAGAAAGCCTGGGCAGGTAAGACTTCCCTCCCCTGGCCCCTGCTACAGTGGTCTGCATATGCCCCCCCTGCCCCCGAGTACTATAAGCTCGCTATACCTCTGCCTGTAAGCTATTACCTTTTCGGTTCATTGTAGCAGAGGGTAGAAACCACAGAATGGAGAGGGACTAGGAAAGGGTAATGGAGCATTAAAACGTGCTCCTTACCTACAAAAAGCTAAGTGGACTGTGGGGGAGGGGGAAGGAAACTAAGGTGATGCTTAATTAAGAAAGCAGCTTCAGAGGCACATAAAAAAGTAGGGGTGCACTGATATATCTGTTGGCTATCAAATCGGCACTGATCAAAGGAGAAACGACGTTATCAGCTATTGGCTTTTTTTGGTTGTTGTAGCTGATAATTATGGCTGTGTGCCTGAAGCACCCTGGCGACCATAGTCTGGTCCCCGTGCTCTGCCACCGGTCCATGCCCATGGCAGACTATAGGTCCCAGAGAGCAACGGGAGGCAGAGGGGGCACTGGGGAGCGGTCACAGGGTACAGCTCTAAGCAACAAAGGGACTGTTACCTGCTCCGGCTGCTGCTGCTGCTGTCATGCCAATGCCATGCATGCAGCAGGTACCTGAGCACCAGGTCTGCCACAGAGACATTGGGCTGTGCACAGGCAGGGTAAGGCACTGCAACAGGGACATTCTGCACCTTTGCAAAAGTGGCTTCTTCCCAGCAGCCAAGGGAGCTCAGCTGTGGTGGGCCCACTGGCGCTGAGGCAGCGGCATGCTCCAGGGCTCCAAACACACCTGGCACCACTGTCTGTGCAAGGGTTCACCCTGCCCACCTGGGACAGCAACACAGGCTGCACAGGGAGCGGGTAGGAGCCATGGGTGAGGGGGGTGACGTACGTGGGAATAAAGCAGTCACTGTTTTCCTAATTGAGGGCCAGAACGGGCAGGAGGCGTGTGTGCATGTGATAAATGCAAAACAAACAAAAAAGATGTATTTATGTCAGTAGTTTAAAATTCCTTGCATTATTATTAAATATCGGTTATTGGAGCAGCATCAGCTGATACGGTTGGCTAATCATCGGCTATCGGTATTGCACAAGAAAATCTGTATCAGCGTACCCATAAAGGTTGTGTTTAAACTGGTGAAAAATGACGGGACAACAACAATTAACTGACAGGTCATTTCTCCTCATGTAGCACCTTCCTGGGCAAAGCTAGAGCTCTGAATGTGCCAAGATGCGGCAGGCTCAGAGAAGGGTCCTGCGTCTTGAAAATAGGGGAATAGGGCTTCCTTGGGGAAAGAATTAGAGATGGGCCTTGCTCCTTATTCAGATCAAGACCTTCAGCACCAACACAGTTCTGGAGGGTGCAGATCCAAGGCTTCCCGCTACCTGCAAATGCATTTCTACCACGCTGTCTGCCCCTGCATCCAGAGTGCTTTGCAATTCTATGGTGTGTTCCACTCAGGGACCTCAAAAAGCCTCACAAATATTTGTGCTGTTTCCAGAACACATATGCCCAACTCCATTAAATAGATTGGAAGCTGATGAGTTTATATATTTGAGGGTAGAAATTTGGCCTTTAGCGTATAGCTGAAAGGTTCAAGAATTGCCACAAAGCTTTCACAAAGAGCTTAATTTCTTAAGTGCTCTGTCTCTCCACTGGCCAAGTGCTGCAGTCACCAATTCCTCTTAAATTTTCTTTTCTTTCCAGTCCTGGCAATATTAACACTAAAAGTGCTCAATCACACCAGGATCTGAGCAGGGTCCTGCAAAATGCTGACTACCTTCCACCTCTGCTCAAACTTCCTGGGGTCAGGCTCTCTTGATCGTTGCACATGAACCAGTCAATAACACAGCTGGCTTTATATATGCATCCTAGCCTAGCACAGTGGCAATCCAGTCTTTTACCCTTGCCTGGGGCCTAAGTTTGCATGGTGGTAGGCAGCTCCGCACAGTGATTGCAGAGCATCCTCAACAGGCTTTGGGAAGAAACAGCTGTAGTGCATCATCCCAGAGTGTGTTGTCCCACTTGCAGCGGGTGCTGCCTTGTGGGATCAATCTGCCAAGCGCTCAGTGCTCTGGCCCTAATCCAGACAAGCACTTCAGCTCCTGCTTCACTTTAAGCACACAAGTGGTCCAATTTCACTTGGAAACCTGTGCTTTGCTAAACTGGTGCACCGGACAGACTACCACATGCTGATTAGGCTTTACCTGTTCTGCCGGAGAACTTCACTTTGATCCAATCTATTATGGGATGCCTGTCCAGACTCTCTCCAAGTGGACAGTACAGATGCTGTGGATGCGCCCACACCTTTGCAATGACACAAAAGCCAGTCTGCGGACACAAACCCAGCCATCTTGCTTGTAACCTGAATTAGAAGGTGATGGTGTTTTTCACCAGTTACAAAAACAGGGCTCAAAGTCCAGGTGCGGTCAGACAGGGCCAAAGAGGCCGTTCTAACAAGCACTGCAGTTTACAACTATTCTCACTGGTCTTGATCGATCCCAGCATCACCTTGCCTGAAGAAGCATTCATCTCAGTGAGATCATGCCACCACCAATGCAGGAGAAAGGCAGCAGTGAATCAGCACGTTTTGGCTGCGTTCAATCAAAACAACCATCGGTAAACACTTCATAGCCCAATGTTTTATTTGGGCTTTATTTGTCCACACAATGTCCTGCTAGCCCCATTGTGCCACTTCAGTAACAAAAGAGCGAGACTCGCATCCATTCATGGACAAAGCGGAGGGATCCTATTATTTTAATGCAGCTAATGAACTGCAGACGTGCTTGAAAAGTTTGCTTGCTACATGAAAGAGCTGCACATAATCTGGTCTTTAATCCTGCCCCTCCTTTATGCGGTCAATGCAAGTTTTCCCACTGACTGCTGGGGATTGGGAACTGGTCCCATGAATTGTCTGAGAAATGGTTAAGAACTGAGACAATGTTCATTTCCACCCAGAGTTGGCCTTTTCAACAGCAGGCCTTTCAACTTTTCCCCTGTGCCAAAGCAAACACAGTCATAACACTGGGGCTGAGTCAGAAGCCCTTGCTCAGTGGGAAGAAGTGAAAGGCTGCCAGCTCGCAGGGAACACAAACACACAACCGGGCTTTTGTTCGGGTCTCCCAGGCGCTGTCCATCAGAAACGGCACTTCGTCAGAGCTCACGCGGCTCCGTCTAAAAACAGCATGTTGGGGAAAGTCCTTGAATCAAAGACAGTATTGTGCTGGTGAGCAGGTCTCAAGGGAGCAAGGCTTTGCTTTCTTAGCTCCTGGCTTGAATTATGGAGTGAAGCAAACGTCTGATTTAGCCTCTCATTCAAAGGGTGGTTTAACTGTTTTATTTGACTGGTTCACAGAAGCTGCCAGGCAGAGGAGACAAAAGGCCTGATTTCTATTCACGTCCCCACCCAGAGAAACTCCATGCGTGTCATGGATCTGGACTGGTGTAAGAAGAGGGAAAATCAAGGTCTATTTTAAACAGAGAAAGGCCTGCTCTACACAGTGTAAAGGCAGGGTCTGAGTACACATAGGTCCACTTTAAATTGGTGGAAAAGGTGGGTGCTCAGGGCTTTTGATAATCAAAATAGGTATGTTTCAACCATCTTAGTATTGATGTAGTCCATCATAAAGCAATTCCTTCATGCACCAGGAAAATGCCGCTGCTTCTAGGGTGCAATGCAATGGACAGACCGATGTCAGAGAGCTGGAGACAGACAATGGAGCAAACCTTGTCTCTTATGAAAGACACCAAAGGATCTTTAATGACTATATAAAGAAGATGCCCTCCTGGCTTTTAAGGCCCCTACCAAAGGACCCATATACTGTAAATGGTATAGAACTCATTTGGATCCAGTTACACAAAAACTTAACTCATGCGAATAGTTCCTTTGACTTTAATGGAAATACTTGCACAAACCAGGACTGCAGGCTCTAGTAAAGGATTGAGCCATTTGGCCCATTAAGAAGGAGAACTACTTTGGACAAGAAAAATTTTCATTTGTTTCCAATGCCTTTTTCTTTTCCGTCCCCCCACTATTTTTAATAAACTAGGAAGTTTTATGTCTAGCGTGTTTTAATCTACTTAACTATTTTTTATTCTTCTTTAGAGGAGAAGCCAGACTTTTCCCATCACACCCATTGTTTCTGATTACTGTGAAAGGCCAGGCATGTTAGTCTTAACTATGCAATAAAAGGCAGTTAATGGTCTGTTAAAGCAAACATAATGGTCTGTTCGCTTCAAAAATATAAATGTTTTACCACATGCCAACAGGCCAGACAGACCTCCAGTAATCAAGAAAGCAGAAAACAACCAAAAAAGTGGCAAGTGAGAACGACAGATCAGATCACATCAGCCTCTGGGCTTAGGAGCTGCAAGTCATTTTTATCTGTTTCCCATTTCTGAATGCAAACCCCTGCACTTTGTGAGCTGGGTAGAACAAGAACATAATCAGTGGTAATCCAGTAGACCAGCCCTTTTAGCACAAGTTTTTGACATACCGCTTGGAACAATAATAAGGATGCAGGGCTTGTGGGTACTGCAAAGTCTGGGGAGACTGGATATTACAAGTGCTTTGCAGAGAGAAGTCATTTTCTTAATGCATTCTGCACCTTAGCATATACCTCAGAGGCAGATGTGGCTACAAGGGATACATTCTGCACTTCCCAGTACAATGAAACAGCCCGGCCTTTTAGTTTTGGACCTTTCAGTAATGGGGCTGACTCCACAGGGTCAAGAAATGCAGGAAACCCTCTCTGATTCACTGGTGGGAAGATCTCCCACAGATTACTGCATGCTCTGAGCAAATAAAAGGTGGGTGCTGCCCTCATCTAGCTTTTAAAAGAGCAGGCTGAGGAGATGGGGTGCTTCCACTATGCGTGATGGGGAGCTGGACTCATGACAGGGTCCTCTGCATGGTGCAGAACTCAGTTCCCTGGAGATAGGTAAGGTGGGGCAGAGGTGGCCAACCTGCAGCACAAGTGCCACATGCGGCATGGGTGTCCTGCATGTGTGGCAAGCAACGGATCAGGAAGGCTGTACAGCAGCAGATCAGGCAGGAAGCAGACGGCAGAGCAGCAGGTCAGGCGAGGAGCACAGGGCTGGCATCAGAAAAGCAAAGCAGGAGACCAGGCAGAGAGCACAGAGCAGGAAGAAGTGCAGCAAAAATCAGGCAGGGGAAAGGCAACTGAGTGGCACCAGAGGAGGGTGTAGGGCTGATCTGTTGCATAGATTGCCCCCTTCCCCCAGGGCAGAGCACAGGTAAGGCCAGAGGATCTGCAATGATATGGTCCTCCTCACCTGTGGCCAGATTATGCATGAGGTGAGGACTAGTTGATGTGAACGTAAGCCACTGCTAAGATAAAAGGATCCCTTCCTTTCACTGAAGCCAGTCAAAAGACTAGTATCTAGATCACACCATTATTAATAGCATCTGCTTTTTTCAAACCGGGGCTCAATTTGGCGGCCTGTTCCCACATGAGTATTCCTCATTCACACACGCCATCCCATGGACATGAATGGGATGCCTCCTATGAGGATGGGCATGAATAATTATGCGAGTGCTGTAGGAGAAGGTTCTTTATTTTGTACACGTGCAGCATGTACTTACTCTTTTTAAAAAGCATCGACCAAGCAGCTCAGGGTTTTCAACACAATTTTCCAGCTCCTTGAGGAAAATTCTGAGAAGAAAGGAAAGCAATTCATAAAAGACTGAGACATTTACATTATGTGTTGGTCACCATCTAAATCCAGAATTAGGTGCTAGGTTTGCTTTCACGTGGGATTAATGAGAAAGATCCTGGCCCTGATCCTGAATCCTAGAGAAAGGCATTACTGGAGAGCTGGGCTGGCGCTTCAAGTCCAGTGCCCAAATCAGCCAGGTATCGCACTGTGCTTTAATCTATCTATAACAGGACCGATCTGGGACCCATGGTTCCTGGGTTTCAGTCTCCACTTGGCAGCCCAGACTTCTGTTTCTAATTTGGGTCCTCTGAGGTAGAAGGGCAGATTAGCAAGTGGGCAAAGGGATAAAGAGCGCACGCTACTGAAGTCAACAGGTCAATTAATCATCTAACCCAGTTGCTCTATATGTGTGTGTTTGGGCCCTGACTCCAAGTCTATTAAAGAGTCCTTCCATTGACGTCAAAGGTCTTTGCATCAGGCCTTTAACTGGGAAAGACACCAGGCTGAAAGGAGAAAGTAGGGTAGGGTGGCCATCATAGAGGGCAGGCTGGTTGTCTTCTTTTCTCTATTGATATGAAACCGGATGCCTTTATATCATCAAGGCATTGGGTTTTGTATCAATAGAGAACAGAGTAGCAGAAAACCGGACTGTCCTCTATGATGGCCACCCTAAAGTAGGGTAAGGTGGCACCTACCCCCTCTACTCATGCTTATGGCAAGGACGAGCACCCCTCACCTAGTGCAACCTCAGAAGGGGAGGAACCGGTATTTTAACAAGATGGATAAAGCTGGACAACAAGGTTTTTTACCTGAGCAGTAGCTCTACTTTGGAAAAAGAGGAAAGACTTTGTTTTGTTCAACCCTCTCATACATCTTTTGCCTGATTCACTTATTTAAAGAATTGCAGTGACTGGGAATAGGATGACATAAGAGGAAAAACTAAGCTGAATATCAGGGGGGAAAAAACTTCCTGCCAGCAGTAAAAAATGGGATTCTTGTCTGAGAAAGGACTGCAAGATTTGGTCCCATTATATCTCCCAGTGTTCTCAGGGAAGCAATAAAAGCCCAGTCATAAGGGACAAGACAATTGCTGCTACAACGATGTGAACCTACAGGGGCAGGGAGATGAATTAGGATCCACTGACAGATTCTATTAGAGACGCAAGACCAGGCAAGGGGAGGGCTACTCTTCCTGCCTGCTCACTTGAAGTAGTGATAAAGCATTCAGTGTAAAGAGTATAAGAACTACTGTAGTATGTTATTAGAGCATGGACGGACTATGAGGTAGTAAACACATGCCTGTTGTGAAATTCACAGATTTCAGGAAGGTTCCCAAAAAGAACTTCTTTTTTGTTCTGAAGAGCAGATGGGATCAGATGCATCAAGTCAGGATTGTCCATCTCTGAAGCATAGCCCTGTGGAGATTGAAAAAAGAAAAAAGGCTATTTTTACCAGGGAAGATAAACACTGTGCTGCATCCACTAAGATAAGATCTTCAGTATGATGAGACTATAGCCAGCTATTGCTCGTTATCACACAAACCTGCCTGCAAATTACAAATTTGGTCTGTTCTTTATTTTTAAATCAGTAATTCTCAGCACGTTTAGATTCAGGGCATGCTCCCTACCTTTTTTTTTTTTTTTAATTTGGTGGCACCCCAGTTGAGAGCCAGGGTTGTGCTGCTTCATCTTACCTCAGCAGTTCTCAATCGGGTGTTGCTACAGACATTGACCACAGCCACCAGGTGAAAGTGCCCCAAGAACCTTGTGCACAGCCAGACTGGGAAGGCCTATGGTATGAGCAAACATTCCTGCCTCCATTAGGGTTATCTGATAAACCTAAAGCAGGCAGGAGCACCTCTTCTTGTTGCAATCCTTAGATTTCATAGACTTTAGGGCTGGAAGGGACCTTGCAAGATCATCGGATCGGAAGTCAGCGGAGGTCAAATGATCCCAGCAAGATAGGCATCCAAGTGTTTTTTTAAAGTATCCAGAGTAGGTGCTTGCTAACCCTTCTTGGTTCAACCCCACACAGTATCTCCCAGAAAGACAGGCACATGGAGCAGGTGAAGCTGCCCCATGCACTTCTGCTTCTGGGAGTAGTATGGGGGCCCAACACCCCTGAAAGGATCCTGAGCACCCCAGGTGAGAATTGTTGTTTTAAGTAAATAAAAGGCCAAATAGAGCTGGATCGCAGTGTCTTCCCACAGTATCACTTCTCTAGCAATGCCATCGGTGTCTGTTGATTCTAAGTTTTCACGGAGTTTCTGGCTCTTAGGATGGTGAAACTATGGTCCAGTCCCTTAATGGGTGGTGCTGAGTCTGCACACAGAACACTACAATGCTCTGAGAGTCCACATCTGGCTGCTCTGGGGGAATGGGAAGGACCAAGTATTGCAAAACTCCTGGAGTCCTGTGGTCACCATACAGAAGGAGAGGTTAGTTTGTTCACACACTCATGAATGAATCGATAGGTTTGTCAGTCCCTCCTGGTTCAGTCAAATCATGCACCGCATCCAAAAAGCCCTTCCACACAACATACTGGGCACTGCTGGTGGGGACTGCTCACTGGCCATCTTTGCCTCCTGGCTTCATCAAACATAGACATGTGGCAGCATGAACACTCAGGGGGACAGCTCTGCCACAGCGCTCAAGCATGTTAGAGGCAGAGAACAGGTGGCTGCTGGATGGGGGTGCCTCCTAGGATGGCCTCAGTGCTACATTTCCAGATTTAGCCCAAGCAAGCCAGGTGTGTAGGATTTTCTCCAGAGTGACCCTGCCAGGACATGGGGAGAAATTAACTGATCTCAGATACAATCCTCTGAACTGCACACCACCACCTATCCTAATCAACACCCATCTTTATAGACAAGAATGTAAAGGTGTCCCTTGCCACACCTCCTCTGAAGACTGCCAAAGTCAGGCCACTGTGGACCAAAGAAAAGATTGACCTTTAAATGCCTAGCATGACAATGGAGAAGAGCTTTTCTGAGAAGCCAGTAGATCTGACCCTATATGGACCCATGGGCCCAAACACACATGCAGAGAACATACAAAGAGATACCAGCTGTTATTAAATGCCCATGGGCCATATTGGCAGTAGTGGAATGGCTATATAGTTGCTCCGCTGTGCACTTAGACACTGGGCTGGGAGGGTGGAGGATTACTTTTCTGCAGCTGTGCTCAGATTGTCTGCAGAAAAGCCGCTTTCTTAAGTTTTGCACGATGAAGTTGAACGCCATGTCACAGGAATCAGGACAATACTGCTGATCATGTTATGAGAAACCTGACCAGCTTCCCTGTTCTGTAGGCAGAACAGAAATGGAGTACAATGGTCACTCCCTAATCTAACTCCTGAGCTAAAATATGCATGATATCCCTAATTGTCCACTGCTAGGCGAAAAGCCTGATCATAGAAACACCAAGTGTTCTAAGCACGGAGGGGAGCTGATTGAACACAGCACAGAAGCAGTATAAACCACAACTTTCATTCCAGGGATAATGGGCTTCCTGCTCAATTGTTAACTGCCCAAAAGACAAACACTGGAAGTCTGGTAGGAGAAACTTCCATCTTACCTCTATTATACTTTGTAGTTCTTCTACATAAACCCGTTCGGTTTCTATCAGCTCATTTATTATGTGGCTAAAAACAAAAAGAGAGAGACAGACAGACACACAGAGGATTCTGTTATTTAGTAATGATGCAACACAATTGTAAAAAAAACACCCCTTATTCCTTTTCTATTACTGCCTCAAGACTGAGGCTCAACAAATGACCTGTGACACCAGTAAGGATCCTACCTTCATTCTTCAGCACTTGCTTTGGCAGATGAACTTGAGCTGCGAAATATGTCTACCCATAGAGTTACCCCATTAGCCAGCCCTCAGCTTCTAATTTGCTCACCTCTATGGGTAGACTTCTTTGCAACTCAACTTTTATTTCCTGTGCTGCTTAAAACATTTCCAGATTATTTCTGTCACTTCTAAATCTATTAAGGTTCCATACTTAGAGAGGACTCTGTTTTCCAGTGGTACAATACATTTGTTTCACTTTGTGTTATCAACTAAGCAGAACATCTCATTATACATCTTTTCTTTAATATGCAGTAGAAACAGGTAGCAATAAAGTCGGATATAACATTCCTCTAATGAAGTACGGGAAAGTTAGTGAAGTACTGATATGACAGATTTTGGACTCTTGATGTCCAATATTAATTCATTCTTCCTAGGTAGTCTGGAAATGGACATCTTGAAGATGCCATTTATTTTACACATGTGCGAGTGTCTCTGTTTGGATGCGATGTAAGACACAGTCACTTATTGTTTGTTTCACAGATCCACATCCCAGCGTGATAACATATTCACAATGCATGAGCCCTTTGAACAGATGCTTCCTTGGTAGAGCTTCCAGAAGTTCAACAGAAGCTTATGAGCATTGTTAGGAAAAAGAAACAGTTCAAGCATTAGTGGTTTTAAGGCCCTGTGCTCAGGACCATATTATTTTACCATTAAATAATCAGACGAGCAAAACCCAAATCAATGAGGTACATGAGGCCAATAAACCCCAGCCTCCTCTGCTTTAGCTGGGCATGGAAGAGATGCAGACTGCTCCTGAGTCTCTTGCAGGCTTAGCACATATTGCAGAAAGTATCCTCATGCAAACCCTTGTGCATTGAAAACCCCTAACGCCTGTTTGTGGGAATGTAGAACCAGGCACATGTGCTTGGCTGGAAGAAATGTGTATTACAAAATGAAATGAGACCCTGTTCACCAGGTTTGCAGGGTGGAGGAAGCTAGGAGCACACTTTGCTGAGCTCATTTTTGGAGTCCTCCTACACTGTCCTACAATTTCCCTGGGGCCTTTTCATTCAGGTCTTTCTACCCACGTCAGTCCTCTACCAGCAGATAACCCCTGGCATAAACAGCTCAGTGCCATTTAACCCTTCTCTGCATGCAGCCTGCTTGCTTAACTGAGACTAGCTCAGCCATTTAGAAGTTGCCAACCCAGCTTGCTGGTGGCTGGCCAGTGGAGCAGAGTTAGACTCTCATCAGCCCCTGCAGGAATCATTATACAGGAAGAAGCGCCAAAAAGTTACACTCATGAGGATTTCCAAGAGGGAAGGTGATGGGGAGGTGGAAAACAAGCAGATGGCTGTTCAATAAGTATCTCAAGTCTCCTAACAGAAGCAATTTTACTACTACAAAGCTTAGCTCTCCTTCGAGGTACCTTCCTCGTTGTTACCCACCCTGAGCAGCCGTATGACCAGTGCTGTAGCCCTTTACAAGCTACAGCACATTTCTCTTGATAGGAAGCGCCTTCAAAAGGCGCTCTTAGTTTAATCTGCCAATGTTTTATAAATTGCCCATTCAAAAACAAAATCCAGTTTCTGATAGATTCCCCCTTTAAATAGCAAGTCCTGATTGTCTGACGCACAAAATAATCTTTTACAAAAAAAAAAAGTGTTGGTTTTTCTATATAAGGATACCTTTTAAGATGAAAAAATTAACTAGGATGCAAATTCACCAGTCAGCTCCACAAAGGCAAAGATTGTCACACAGAGCATAAATTGCTATGCAGAGGCAAAAGGGAAATTAGCTAAGCCCTGATCATGCAAATCACTCACACGTGTTTATGGTTACAGTTGTGAGTCATCCCCATTCAAAGCCCTTTGCATTACTCATATCTGTAAGGTTAAGTATGGAGCCAGGGCCTTAGTTCTGATCATTCTTTTCACTATAATTCATACAAAATAATCATCATAGGAATAATAGAAAATTACTGTTTGCCCAGTGCAGAAGCCCTGAGTGGAAGCTTAACCTGCAAACGCTCAGCTGGTTTGCTTGAAACTTGCTCAGTATGTCAAGTTTTTCCGTTGCTCTCTATAGGTTTCCAGAATGAATTATCAAACAAACTAGAATTCTATTGGCATCAAATGCAGTCTAGACCAGGAGTTTGCAACATTTTTGGGCACAGTGCCAAAAACACCCACAACCTTGATTTTTTTAAGATGTTGGCATGCCAGGGGTGGATGGCAGGGGAGTCACAAGGGGCCCAATCCTTGGGGTGGCAGTGCAGCCCCAGCCCCTTTCCCACTGTCCACCCCAAGGCACGCATGCCAACCAAAATGCCCTTGTGTGCCGCAGTCTGGCACCCATGCCAGGGGTTGTCTGCCCCTGGTTTAGACCATTGGGTCTGGAACCTTTCGGGCCAATGGACCTTAATGTATCTCAGAGACAACCCTGAATAGAGAGGTGATTAGTCATGTTAATCTGAAGACAGGTACAAGGTAGCACCAGCTGGTCACAAAGGTGCTACCTTGTCCTTACTTCTCACAGACAACTATGAAACTCTGTCAAACTGCTGTTGAAAATGCTATAAACATTTATAGCATTGGGGCCTGATACAAGCCACTGACCAGACTGTTCCTCAGCCCACGGTCATAGACAGTCATAGCCTCACATTATTCAAAAGCTTGGTACGCACCACAGAAATATTAGCAATGCTGGCAGTGCTAGGGTTTGTCTGCACTGACACCGGTGGGTTTTTTGCAAGATAACTAATGTATGAGCGCTGTCTTGCTGTCACTCCTGAGTGAAGACAAGACATCTGAAATGCCCAGGAAGGTAACTAAGGCTTAGCCTACAATGCAGTTCTGCCCACTTAGCTGTGGCAGGCTGGGGGCATAAAAAAATCATGCCCTGAGCTGATACACCTCTGCCAACAAAAGCCCCATCTATCACTGGAGAGAAGTGGGAAGCTCTGTAGGCAGGAAAATCCTTTTTACCGTCTACAACCACATACTCATCTCTACTAGAGGGTTCACCAACACAGCTGTGGTAGCAGCAGCATTGCAGAGGAGCACTGTATGAGTCAGTACTACAACCCCTGCCTAGGGCTGACTTTTCTTAGTTTGCCTTACAGTAAAGTGCTTTTTCTCCACTACGTTTTACAGTGAAATACCCAATGCATCTTAGCTAGCTGTCAGTTGAAACACTACATTTTTTTCCCCAGCAACATATTTGCTGTCCGAATTCTATGCACCATGTTGCTTATCCCAACTCTGAGTATACTTAGATTGTAGTTATGGATCATGCCAATACACCTGCATTAGGTCTCTCAACACTGCAAGCATTGGGAGAACTGAACCACGACTTACATTACTAAACCATTTCTGCAGAATTTCACCCGTGCAGGGAAGGTGACTATTTGTTTGCAGAATATCTATGCAAAAAGAACAAAAAAACCCCACACCATCAGTCTCATTACTCAGGTTGTCCAAAAAACAAATCTGGATTTCCCCCTCCCTTCCCCGCCTCCCCAAATAACTGAGCAACCTAATCAATGCAACAGCTTTGTTACTATCTCAAAGGAGATGAGCACAAGATGTAGCCCAGCAAATCACTTCCAGCTGCACTAAACTTCCAGGGGAAAATTGGTATTTAGATAAGACAACTCATTATTCACACCTGATCAGATACTGGAACTTGTTCCTGTGCTTTTCTACCTCGTTTCTGATTCTGAACAAAAAGTGTCAGCAGGTTTATGACGTAGACTGATCTATTTTGTCTGCCATGTTTTGAGAAAAATGCTACACTATGATACCTGTAACACTGAAGTGTTTACACTGAAGTGCTGATGTTGGGTGCTGTTTGCTTACTATTGCTGGTATTGAGTTTAAAAAAAATACACACAGGAATGGAGGTAAGTAGAGCAAAAAATGGGAACCATGACACAGGAACAGAAAATGGGAACTATGACCCAGTCATGCTACATATGTTGTGGGTTTCCTGGCCCCAAATTCTGCAGCGGGTGAGGAGCAATAGGTCACTTCTGCTCATCTTCTCTGTTGCCTATGTAGTAGCTGCAGGGCACTCCTTTGGTTGCCATGTGCTAAGATTGTAGATCCCACACCTCCATTAAAAACATCCCAACTTAAAACAGCGATACTATAGTTGTTGGGAGTGATCACCGTTGAGGGCTGCAGTACGTCTTTCTAACTGCCCCCCCATCCATATTTCCGTAAGTGCATTCTCTGTTTGACTTGAACCATGCACTCTGTCAGAGGCTGTAGCTTCTGGTATCAAATTTTCCCTTAACACATGCTCAGACAACTACAATGCTGGACAGAAGAGGGCTTTAAGAATAGTGATTTGTTTTGCCTCCTGATTGCGACAAATAGGGAAGTTTAAACTAGGCTCGTTGGGGGAAGGGGTATATGAGGGC